TAATGGGTTGTATGTTCATCATGTGCTATAATCATGTTCCATCTATGAGTGATTACTGGTCCAAGCATCCTTCTCTGGGAAATGCAGCCATCAAGAAAGCAATTTCTCGAGACCGTTTCCTATTAGTTTATTCAAAAATGTACTTTGCTTCTCCTGAAAAACCGGAGGGATGTAGCAAATCATATTATATTGACGACGTCGCCTGTTGCCTCAAAGAAAGATTTCGAAAATTCCGTCAAGATAGTCCCTTCCAGAGTATAGATGAATCCATGACGAAATTCAAGGGGCGTTCTTCACTCAAACAATATATGCCCCTCAAACCTGTAAAACGAGGAATCAAACTTTGGCTAAGGTGTGACTCCACTACCGGTTACACCTATGACTTCAACATTTACACTGGGCGCGAAACAGAACAAATGGATGGAACTTTAGGCGAGCGAGTGGTCAATGCACTAGCCTCTACAATTGGCGAAAAAGATGTAACGTTATGCTTTGATAGATTTTTTACGTCAGTAAATTTATTGATATCATTGGACTTTCCAGCTTTGGGAACTATTATCTCAAATAGAAAAAATCTACCAAAAGTTGAAACAAAACTAAAAAAGGGCCAAAGTGTATTCAAAGCATGCAATGAGGGTTTGTTGTATACAAAGTGGCAAGATACAAAAGATGTTCATGTGTTGAGCAACTGTCATAAAAATACCATGACTAATGTCCTGAAGACTCAGAAGGATGGATCAAAGCTGCCTATCGATTGTCCAGATATGATTGCTTTCTACAGAGAAATCATGGGCGGAGTTGACCGAGCCGATCAAATGATGGGTGTATATGAGATGGACCGTAAGTCAAATAAGTGGTGGAAAAAAGTTTTCTGTCGTCTGATGATGATGTGTGCCGTGAATGCATGGATCATCTCAAATGAGGTGAACAATAAGAAAACACCGTTACTTCAATTCATTGTGTCTTTGGCAGAAGAACTAATAAAGGACGGAGAAAAAACTGCTACTGTTCAACGATCTGACAGAAACGGGAGAACTTCTGAAAAACGCAAAGTTTGTGGAAAAGTATCTCTACATCTACCAGTAGAAGGCACTACTAGAAGGCGGTGCAGGGGATGTACCGAAAATAAAAAACAAACCAGGACCACCACATTGTGTCAAGAATGTAAAATTCCATTGTGTAAGAAATGTTTCGCTCCGTACCACACTTAGTTTGTATTATCTGGTTTGTACAACCCTTGTGGTTCATATTAATACCATTAATAAATGTTTTATAACACTGCTGGTACATATATATACCATCCCCATTTCCCCCCCTTTCAATTTTTTTGAGTTTTTTTTTGTTCAAACATTCTTCACTGAGCCTCAATAACCTAAAAATATGAAAAAAATCATTATAGTTGTTGAAACTAAAAGCCGTGTCGAAAGGGTTAAGTACTAATTTAGTAAAGGTGCTTCAAAAAAATATCATGCTTCTTCTTTATAGATAGTTTAGTTTGATCCCAAAATATTGTTTTATGATCAAAAATGTTGGCGCAAATAACTATATAAATTGGATTTTATAAATATTGAATGAATCCTCTTCTGGACCTTTGCCACAGATCAATATATAATATCCATTCTTATCGGCTTAATATCACAATCGCTTTGGTTAGCAGATAAAAATTTAATAAACATGGAAAGCATAATGTGGTAGATATTCGAACGGAGAGAAGAGCTAAGTGTTCAAACCATTTTTCGGAAAAAAAAACATTATTGAGTAATGATAAAGCGTATAATACCTATTTAAATGGAAAGAATAATATTCTGTAAAAAATTAAAAACATCTAAAAACAATGTCTGGGGCCAAATGCAAGTTTGCTTTAAACGAACAGAACAATTATGGCCTATTAACAAGTACCTATGTTTTTTTTTTTTTTTTTTCAGATGAACTTTTCATACAATCAGCTCCATCCGCACTTCTTTGAATTGTATTATGAACCGAATAACTATATTTACCAGTTTCGTGGTTAAAAATCGCCTTACTGCGACATACCTATTATTAACCATAGCCTTTAACTTAATTTTTTTGAGGTAAATATGGGGCTTCGCTAAATATTATGTTGTGCAGGCTCTGCCTTTGGAATTCTTTTTTTTTCAAATTTTTCTTATAATCACGTTTGATTTTTGTCTTGCGACAATAAACAAACCAAAATGTGAAATACCTACCTGGCTATAATTATTCTTTGGACTAAGTATATTGAATATATTCTTATCGATAATTATTAATATTTCAGATTCAATTAATATGTTAGCTTTTTGTTCACATAATGGCAAGTATAAAAAAAAAACTAAACTATACTGTATTTTTTTCCAAGATAGATTTCAACACTGTCAACATTGAAACATAAACATTGCCGTTTATTGGTCGCAACATGTCATTTGTACGACATGCATTAGCCGTATTCGTTTCGTTTTTGTCATTTTTTTTTCATCGATACGCTCCGAAATTTTGAAAGGCACAGGCATGTTGATTTGCAAAATTGAAATTGTCTGATCCAGTCATGTGCCTGTCAACATTCCAGAGCAAATTGACGAAAAAGAATGCAAAAACGAACACAGATATTGTGAAACTGATTATTATAAAGCGTTATTGTTTGTGTTCCAGAGTTTTCAATGTCAAAATCCATCTTAAGAAAAAATAGACTTTAGTAATTGACAACTAATAACTGAAAATTAATGTGTAGAATAGACTATTTTATTATTTACTAACTTTTATGTCGGAATGACCAATATTGTGCTATTTATAGAACAGTTAGTTTTGCGTCAAGCACTTTATTTTACTGTAAAATAAAGTGCTACTTCATTTTACTAGTAAAATAAAGTGCTACTTTATTGCCTACCTGGACTACCTAACAACCTGCCAAGGTGAAACAGGTATACTCGAATTCGAATTTTTTCATCCATACCTAAATGATGTTTCAGCAAGAAAAAAATTTGCTCTTGACGAAGCAGAAGAGATAACTCTCACCGATGAGGATGATACAGTGGTTGAAAATGATTGTATTGAGGAGGTGTTGAAAGCAACAAAAGTATTAAAAGTAGTAACGAAAACCCCAACCAATTATGAATCATCAAATTCGACACTTTCGATTGATGATGCTACACCAGCTGTATCAGACCTTGACGAATGGTTCCTAAATGATTTCAAGTCCTATGAAGATGAAGAACCAGAAAACTGTGGTGATGGAAATCCGTCAACATATCAGATTGTTAGTATTGCCGGGCAAGAAACACTCAATTTACCATCAGGATCGCAAACGGTATGTGAAAAGCCAAATTATGAGTATTGTTCGTCGATTTTTAACTGATACTTGCGGTATGAGGAGCGAGGGGGTGTTTTATATGACAAAAACAGGTGTGACGTCAGGTAACCATTGGCGTTCTAATGTAGGGAGCCACCAGCTTACATTCCGTCCGAGTATCAGATTAAAATCGACGAACAATAGGTAAAGTCTGGTTTTTTTTAAGATAAAAGTCAAAATGACATTATGTTGGCAATACAATGTAAAATTGTCAATGCTTTCAAATTTTTTATGTAGAAAAGGCTTTTGTTGCCAAAAAAGTTACTAAATTTTTGACTTGGGGTATTATCTTGAAAAAAAAAAAGATTTTATATGCAATTACTTAAATAGATTTTCTCTTCGAACATTAAATAATACATTCATTCTTGCTCGAAATTAAATTGATTAATGATACATTCTACACGCCCCGTGGATTCCAAATCGGAATCCACGGCCTGTAGTCCAATCAAATTCTCCATATTTTCGGAATACTTGGGCCGCAACGAGACAATGCAAACAAAACATGACTGACGTCTGCTGTCAGATCACTAAACTTTCAATTAAGGCGGGTTTAGACTTTTGATGATTGTTATTTTTTACAAAAACTAATGATTTTCTTTCAAAAAGTTCGAAGAGAAAGTATAATCTTCTACTCGCAAATAACGGCTATTATATGCTCGTTGAAGAATATACTATTCTCGATTTTGATGTGAGAATGCAGAGAACGCAAAATCATTGAAGAATGAAGCTCATTCTTCAACGATTTTTAGTGACATTTAGTTTTCAAAGTATGCCTATCGGTACCTTCAAAATTGTCAAACCTGCTATTAATGATCAATGAACTATAAACTACCCGTACCTGGAATGGCCCGCCGATCTATAAATTTGCGGCAGATTGAGATGGAGAATGTGGGGTACACACATCTCTATTTATCTTATTGGCGAATCATGGAAATCTTTCCTTGTCTCAAAAATATTTTATTCGAGGTTAGGAATATGCCAAACCTAATAGCAATGAACTGGAGAGAGAAAGGGATACCCCACTATGTAGCTTTTTTGGACGCACTAAGCGAGATGACATATGCCATACAAATGCCATATCCGACAACGGTCGGTGCCATTCCAGATACGTGTAGTTTATAGTTCATTGATAATGATAGAATCCACCTGTCAGTTTGTTGGTAAGTAAAGTGTCACCAACTGACATATGTTGAAAATAAAAAATCCCCAACTAACAGCGTTCACAAAAAAAAAATATTTACGACTAATGTATAATGTGCGTATTATATTTGTGATTCTGGCAGTATAATGACATATGTTATTCCTCCAGGGATTAATGACGAGTAGCGGGATTAATGGTCATTATTCCACAAAAGTGTCAGTGTCAAACGTGTAGTGCTTGTGGATTTGTATTGAAAATTATGAGACGGATGAAATTTGTTCATTGAAAATCTCAAATAAATTAATTTGTCGTAAATAAAGTAGAGTATACTACTCGCAATAATGGCTATTATTCCCTCGGAATGTAACTCACTGATATTCCTCGGGAATAATAGCTATCATTATTGACTCGTGGTATAATCTACTATTAAATATGAAAAATAAAATCCAAAATTGAGAAAATACTATAAAACACACGTTGCTCCTTCGTCGCTCGTGGCCAAATTTCGAATTCGTGCGGGAATATGTGGCCTTCTGCAACTTGTATTTTAATATACTATACTCGTGGACAAAATTATCGCACCATATCTTATGGTGATGCTTATGTGCAGTGGTGCGATAATTTTGTCCAGGAGTATAGTTCAACTAGTATAATATTTTGATTTTTGGAATTTTGCTATGTAATTTAAATTGGACAAGGAAAAACACATTAAAATTTTTTAGGAAATGCAAGTTGATAAGGATGGGTTTTGCATTCCATTAGTTCCTGTTCTAACTCCTGGCCGTTTGAACAACTTTACATCCAAGCATCAGGTACACTTATATAATATTTATTAATAAAATAAAAAACTATTGTAGTGTTTATATTTTAGGACCTTAAACAGTTTTTACATAAAAATGGTGGTTCTCATATTTTGAATGAATATGACGAGAACGGAATACTGTCCGATAGGATGAGGAGGGATTTAGTAAATCTAACTGTAAAAATGATGTTGAATGAATTTGGACAAAATTTAACAAAAAATATTAAAGTTGAATATGCAAAGGCCATTGTTCAACTTTTTCCCAAGCTCAAAGATCCAACTAGTAGCAAGGGGGGTTACGTAAGTTACCTTTTTATTTTATCTTACATTTTTTTAGCTTATATGAGCATATCTACAGAGTGTTCATTTTAAAACTTACCATCTCTATTCACATTCAGGATTTTCTAGGGGGTGACTCTGGGGGGAGGTGAATTTTGCATAAAAACTCACCCCTTTTCAAATTATAATTGACATGTTTTAGGGATTTTTTAGAAAATTTTTCAACTCCAAGAGAATAATAGGGGTGCTGAATTTTAAAACAAAGACCCTGTATATAAATTAGTACATATTATCTGAATACTTATGGTTTTGGTATTATTTTAGTAATTATGCTTTAGCAGCTTCAGTTTAAAGCTTCATAATTTTGTAATTAATAATAATAATAATAATGATAATGATAAAAATAATAATAATCTTCTCATGTATGAATCATATAAATGGATATTTTTATAAGTATTTTTTGTTAAATACTTTTAATTCTGTAATTGAATAATTGAATTATTGATTTATAGGAAATATTTTATGATGACTCTCAAAAAACGCCAAGTGGATATTTGGCTTGGCGTCTTCGAACTGTGATGAGAAGTAGGGGTAACATAAGAAAGAGAAAATGTGATGATGGAATAGAAAATAGGGTGCCATTTAAAAAGCCGAAAAATATTGAAATAAGCACAGAAGAAGAACGAGACATAGAGTTTTTAAAAAATTCAAATTACAAGACTCAGAAAGAGGAGATTTTTAAAAAAATGAAAAGCACAATTAATGTGAGAAAACAGAGAAATTTTACACTTGATGATTTTCCTCGATTTCTCGACACTGATGGCTTGGTAAGTTTGTTCAGAAACTTAATTCACTTATGTAGCTTACTTTATTGGTTCATATTTAGATTCATCAAGATTTTAATTTGCTTTATCCTGATTCTTGTCCATTTGCCCCAAAATTTGAGAAATACTTAGACATTATCTTTAAAGGTGTATGACAAAACTGCTTGCAGTAAATCATCACTAATTGATGGAACTGTTTCAGGTTAGTATACTTAGAAAAAATAATACATTTTAGAATTCAAATTTTTTAATTTAAGGTTGGGATAAGCCAACGCGAGCACTTTTAGCGCTATTGCATATGCTGCCAGCTACTGCCAAGGGAAAAAGAGTGGGAAGAAGAGACTCATTTGAATCATCTGTGGACAAATTACTAATTTTCTGCACTGTGAGTGTCTAGGCAAACTTATTAGCTGTAACAAATAGCTATAAAAAAATATTGTTAAAATTTAAGTCATGCTTTTCATAACGATAAATATATTTTTAAGCTTGGAGAACCTCTACAAAGGATCGTGGATGAAAGAAAAGGATTCCAGCCATATCTAATTGGCATTGGAGCAAACAAAGCTGCCATCTAACAGTCTAACAGCTGTCTAACAGTGCCAAACGGAAAAACTCCACCGTTCATTGAAAGGGTTTCCCATAGTATGCCAGAGGTACCCTTTTGTCACAGAGAAATACGAAAATCCCTTAAAAAGCTAGATACAAACAAAGCAATGGGTCCGGATGGTATTCCCGCAATAGTACTCAAAAATTGCGCCAACGAACTCACCCCAACTTTCGCAAAATTATTCAATTTGTCTTACAGGCAAGGAGTATATCCATCATCATGGAAGTCTGCCGCAGTACAACCCATTCCAAAGAAAGGAAAAAAGACAGATCCGTTAAACTATAGACCAATTGCTCTACTTCCGGTGATATCAAAAGTAATGGAAAGAGTTGTGAACAATCACCTAACCAAGTACTTGGAAAAGTACAAAATTATCAACGATAAGCAATACGGATTTCGAAAATATAGGTCAACTGGCGATTTACTTACATACGTCACTCACTTATGGCAAAAAGCGATTGAGTTGCGGGGTGAAACAAGAACAATTGCCTTAGATATATCTAAAGCATTCGACAAAGTTTGGCATGAAAATCTGCTCAACAAGCTCAAAGCAATGGGATTATCGCCGAAACTTTGCACTTGGTTTGAAAGTTACCTAAAGGACAGATCCATTTATGTTGCACTGGATGGCCAGAACTCCAACTCTTACCAAATAAATGCTGGTGTGCCACAGGGAGCAATCCTTTCGCCAACTCTTTTCCTGATTTACATAAATGACCTCATAGATAAAACAGTAAATCCACTTTATTGCTTTGCAGACGATGGCAATGTAGTCTCCTCACTCATACCACCCACAGATCTTTCCGCACGTGAATTCCATCATCTTAGACTAACTCAAATATCGAAAATAAATAACGACCTGGATATAATAGAGGACTGGGGTAACAAAAACCTTGTACAGTTCAACGCGCAGAAAACACAAGCAGCTCTGTTTTCAAAAAAGACCAGCACCGGTGAGCCAAACATCATGCTATCTGGAAGTGCTGTCACATTACAGAGGCAGTTGAACATCTTGGGGGTTACTGCAGAGACCAACATGTCTTGGCACAGTCACGTGGCAGATATTGCTAAAAGGGCCTCCCAAAAGCTGGGGGTGCTATTTCGTACAAGACATCTGTACACACCAAGCCAATTGCTGACACTCTACAAAGCCCAGATTCGACCAACTATGGAGTACTGCTCACATATATGGAGTGCAGCACCCAAACATACCTTAATGCTTTTGAATACCGTGCAAAAACGAGCTATCAAGCTGATCAATGACCCCGCACTTACTCGTAACTTGGATGGTCTCGAACATCGCAGATCTGTGGGCGATTTATCTCTCTTCTACAGGTACTATCACGGAAAATGCTCTGAAGAGTTGGCACGTATGATTCCACCGAGAGTAGCACCTACCAGGCGAACCCGTCAAACAGACGGTAACCATGAATTTACTGTCAAACTAGAGGCACCAAGAACCTCATTATATCAGAATTCATATCTCTGGAGAACAGCATCGCTGTGGAATAAACTCCCGGCGACGGTTTTCCCTGCAGGTTACAACCTGAACCGTTTCAAGACCAACATACACCGACATTTCCGCGCACTTGCCGCTTCTCGAGCGTGATAGGACATCTCCTTGCGAGTGCGCATATCCGTAAAAAAAAAAAAAAAAATCTCAGAGTACAAGGTAGTTATTGACTCAAAAATAGTGAACACTCGTTGCAACAACATTATTGAGTCATTTGATTTTCTTTTTAAATGCTACTTCGTTTTTAAGGTAAGATATGATACTGGACTTGATATTTTTTTGAGGTTTATTGAAATTTTTTTTTACGACATAAAATTAGATTTTAATAATATGACAACAAAAATGAAGGAACAGATGAACAGGTTACAAACATTCATCGAAGTATAAATTAATTCCATCATATTTGAGAACTTTGAATTTTTATTTTAATAACGAATAACACTTTATAAAAAATTCAAGTACTAATTAACTAACTGTTACCATTTTTGCGGTTATCAAAACAAGAAAAGCCTTTGGGGCAAGTTCAAAAAAAAAAAATTGTGATAATGTCACAACTTAGTTGTTTTGTGTGTTTTGTAAATTTTAATAATATTTCACTTTTGATTCAACATATAAGAAGAAATCATTTTCCCATAGAACATAATTTATCTCTAAAATGTTGTTCAGTGAGTTGTGCCTTGATATTTAAAAATTTTTATGGCTACAGAAAGCATTTAAAAAGTTGTAAAAAACTTACACAAATAGAAATAGATCTCAGTCTTACTTGTCCCGAAATAAACTCCCATGAAAATAATGAAAATGTTTGTCCTGAAATGGAACTTCCAAATAATGGATCTAATATTGATCAAAAGAAAAAAGTGGATTTAAAATCATTATTATCAGAAGAAGTAAATATTCATGTTTTGTCCTTTCTGTCTCAAATTTTGTCACTTGGTATTCCCATATCAACCATTATTCGTATAATGGAATGTCTTAAAGACTTAATTCAGAACATTTTAGAAATTACTGAACAAATCGTTAAAGAAGAAAACAGAAATACAGATCCTTTCCATTGGATTTCAGAGCATACTTTGAATAATTTGGATTTGTGTAATACAGAGTACAAAATAAAAAAAACACTTTTCAAGCAAAATTGTTCAACCAAAAGAAATACCAATAGGTGTTCGTGTTGATCAAGTTTTTAATAAAACCAGCAAAACATATGTCCAGAAAAATATACTTAAGTCTTTTACATATATTCCCCTTCTCGAGACATTGACTAATGTTTTAAAAAATCAACAGTTCCAAAGATTTTTCTTGAATGAAGATATTAATGTTAATGAAACTTTGCTTTATGAAACATATTCTGATGGTAGCTCTTACAAAAGAAATCTACTTTTTCAACAACAACCAAATGCAATCCAGATACAATTATATTATGACGAATTTGAGTGTTCAGCTCCTTTGGGTACTAAAACTGGTTGTCACAAAATGGGTGTTTTTTATTTTATTATACGGAACGTTCCCCCAAAATTTTTATCTGCATTAGCAAATATACATTTACTTGCACTATTTTACTCTCATGACTTAAAAGAGGCGAGCATTAATTCATTCTTACAGCCTTTCCTGAAAGACTTACAAGAATTAGAAACTCAAGAATTATCAGTGGATTTTTTACCCTATAAATTAAAAGGTACACTAGTTGCTTTAAGTCATGATAATTTGGGAGGAAACACCATGTATGGAATGGTAGAATCATTCAATGCCAATTACTATTGTCGGAATTGCCTCATTCACAAAAGTAATATTGAAAATGTTTTGACTGAGAACCATCCTGCATTTCAAAAAAGAAGTTTAGAATTTTATAAAAATTTAATAATAACCTATCTTGATACGCCTTATGGAGTAAAAATTATAAGCTGCTTAAATGGTCTTTCTTATTTTAATTTAGGCAATTCTGTTTCTGTTGATGTCATGCATGACATCTTAGAGGGTGTTGCTCGTTACGAAATAAAATTATGGCTCAATAAATTGGTTAGTCAAAAAATATTAACTCTTGAAGAAATTAATGATAGAATTTTTTTTTTTGATTATGGACAATTGATATATCTAGCAAACCAAGTCCTATAAAACTAGATAAAAGTGGATATATTATTGGGCAACGAGCCGCTCAAATGTGGTGTCTTATAAGATATCTTCCACTGATTCTTTCTGATGTTTCAAGTACATGTGGAGAATTTAATATGATTATCCTTTTACTTGGTATAATGAATATATGTTTTTCGCCAATTATTCCCAAAAAAGCAATAGATGAGTTAGAACAACTTATTATTAATCATCACAAAAAAGTTTTGGAATATGGTCACTTGCTACCCAAACATCATATGATGATACATTATCCTAGAGCTATTTCTGAAATGGGTCCATTGGTACACCTATGGTGTATGCGCTTTGAGGCGAAACATGGATATTTTAAGGATCTTGTACACAAACTTAAAAATTTCAAAAATGTCCCCAAGATGCTCGCTTTTAGACACCAAATACATATAAATGTACTTTGGGAAAATATATCTTTCAAAGATAATATTGAACTTGGTCCAAAGACAGTTTTTTTACTTGATGACTCTGAATTTACAAGAATAAATATAAAAGATAACTTGGATCTTCCTAATCCTGAACAAATATTTGAAATCAAGTTCCTTACCTACAGTAGTTTTACTTATAGGATAGGTTTATTTATATGCACTAAAGTTGAAGAAATGGGACCCACGTTCTCTGAAATAAAAAAAATTCTTCTGATTGAAAATCAACTATTTTTTATAGCACAACCTTGGAAAACTGAAAAATTTCACAAAGATTTAAATGCTTATCCGATTAAAGTTAGTTATAATTCAATGGTTCTTGTTGATGTTAAACTTCTCCGAAACAAGGATGCCTATGAAAAAAAACAACCATTCCGTAAGACAGATTTTTTTATAGTCCCAAAGCATATTTTAGTTTAAAATTTAAATTTTTTAAAAAAACTTTTAAATAAGTAGCAATGAACAAATACACTC